CTGGGCCCCTCAGCAGCCCTCGAAAGTGGCGACCGTTTCACAGATCGCAGCCCCCCAGGGATGGCGAGGTCTAATTTGAGTCTGCGGTGGGTACCCACTGTGCTGGGCCCCCCAGCAGGCCTCGAAAGTGGCGACAGCTTCACAGATCGCAGCCCCCCAGGGATGGCGAGGTCTAATTTGAGTCTGCGGTGGGTACCCACTGCGTTGGGCCCCCCAGCAGGCCTCGAAAATGGCGACAGTTTCACAGATCGCAGCCCCCCAGGGATGGCGAGGTCTGATTTGAGTCTGCGGTGGGTACCCACTGTGCTGGGCCCCTCAGCAGCCCTCGAAAGTGGCGACAGTTTCACACATCGCAGCCCCCCCAGGGATGGCGAGGTCTAATTTGAGTCTGCGGTGGGTACCCACTGTGTTGTGCCCCTTTCAGCAGCCCTCGAAAGTGGCGACAGTTTCCCAGATCGCAGCCCCCAGGGATGGCGAGGTCACTAAGTTGAGTCTCGGTGGTACCCACTGTCTGTGGCCCGTCAGCAGCCCCGAAATGGCGACCGTTTCACAGATCCCCCAGGGATGGCGAGGTCTAATTTGAGTCTGCGGTGGGTACCCACTGTGCTGGGCCCCCCAGCAGCCCTCGAAAGTGGCGACAGTTTCACAGATCGCAGCCCCCCAGGGATGGCGAGGTCTAATTTGAATCTGCCGCGGGTACCCACTGTGCTGGGCCCCCCAGCAGCCCTCGAAAGTGGCGACAGTTTCACAGATCGCAGCCCCCCAGGGATGGCGAGGTCTAATTTGAGTCTGCGGTGGGTACCCACTGTGCTGGGCCCCTCAGCAGCCCTCGAAAGTGGCGACAGTTTCACAGATCGCAGCCCCCCAGGGATGGCGAGGTCTAATTTGAGTCTGCCGCCGGTACCCACTGCGCTGCCCCCCCCAGCAGCCCTCGAAAGTGGCAACAGTTTCACAGATCGCAGCCCCCCAAAGGCAGGATGGCGAGGTCAAAGGCAAGGGGGAAGAGAGGGACGGGAGGGGGTGGGAAGGAGACGGTGGGAAGGAGACACGGTGGAAAGGAGACGCGCGAGCAGTGCTCTATTCAAAACGAGAACCCAACCAAGGAGGGTTGGGAAACAAAATTCCCTGTGACGTACCCAACCCATTTGTATCAATGGAAACGAGGACTTGGCCGAAACTTGCATTGACAATCAACTTGATGTGTAAGCTGCTTGGGACACGCGCCTATGGCATGATGCGCAGGAGAACCATACAAGAACGAGGGGCGACAGCTACAGGCTCGAAGAGGACATGGGGAGTCGGGAACGCAGAGCAGGAGAAAAACGTGCGGGAAGCCGAACCATCAGCACGGCAGCAGCAGAGGGAAGGTGACTGCAGGAGGAGAACAAGGACGAAAGCGGCGTCTAATTTGAGTCTGCGGTGGGTACCCACTGTGCTGTGCCCCTCAGCAGCCCTCGAAAGTGGAGACAGCTTCACAGATCGCAGCCCCCCAAAAATAGCGAGGTCTAATTTGAGTCTGCGGAGGGTACCCACTGTGCTGTGCCCCTCGGCAGCCCTCGAAAGTGGCGACAGTTTCACAGATCGCAGCCCCCCAGGGATGGCGAGGTCTAATTTGAGTCTGCGGTGGGTACCCACTGTGCTGGGCCCCTCAGCAGCCCTCGAAAGTGGCGACAGTTTCACAGATCGCAGCCCCCCAGGGATGGCGAGGTCTAATTTGAGTCTGCGGTGGGTACCCACTGTGCTGGGCCCCTCAGCAGCCCTCGAAAGTGGCGACAGTTTCACAGATCGCAGCCCCCCAGGGATGGCGAGGTCTAATTTGAGTCTGCGGTGGGTACCCACTGTGGCAGATCGCAGCCCCCCAGGGATGGCGAGTGTGGCTCTTTGAGATCGAGTTTGAGTCTGCCGGGTACCCACTGTGCTGGGCCCCCCAGCAGCCCTCGAAAGTGGCGATAGTTTCACAGATCGCAGCCCCCCAGGGATGGCGAGGTCTACTTTGAGTCTGCCGCGGGTACCCACTGTGCTGGGCCCCCCAGCAGCCCTCGAAAGCGGCGACAGTTTCACAGATCGCAGCCCCCCAGGTATGGCGAGGTCTAATTTGAGTCTGCCGCGGGTACCCACTGTGCTGGGCCCCCCATCAGCCCTCGAAAGTGGCGACAGTTTCACAGATCGCAGTCCCCCAGGGATGGCGAGGTCTAATTTGAGTCTGCCGCCGGTACCCACTGTGCTGGCCCCCCCAGCAGCCCTCGAAAGTGGCAACAGTTTCACAGATCGCAGCCCCCCAAAGGCAGGATGGCGAGGTCAAAGGCAGGGGGGAAGAGAGGGACGGGAGGGGGTGGGAAGGAGACGGTGGGAAGGAGACACGGTGGAAAGGAGACGCGCGAGCAGTGCTCTATTCAAAACGAGAACCCAACGCAGGAGGGTTGGGAAAACAGTTACCCTGGCGACGTACCCAACCCCTGCGCAAACGCGGGGCGCAAATAGTTTAGGACACTTTATACAAGGGGGCGATGACGGAACAAGGGTTACCTATGTCTGAAGACGGAATTCGGGACACTCGCAGGACACTGGCTACAGGACAAGGACTAGATAAAGCTGATTAGTTACAATCCCTGAGCAACCCTAGCCACTTCGAAGGCGGGGATCTCAGATCGCAGCCCCCCAGGGATGGCGAGGTCTAATTTGGGTCCGCGCGTGGCGACACTGTGCTGGGCTCCCCAGCAGGCCTCGAAAGTGGCGACAGTTTCACAGATCGCAGCCGCCCCCAGGGATGGCGAGGTCTAACTTGAATCTGCGTGTGGCGCCACTGTGCTGGGCCCCCCAGCAGGCCTCGAACGTGGCGACAGTTTCACAGATCGCAGCCCCCCCAGGGATGGCGAGGTCTAATTTGAATCTGCGTGTGGCGTCACTGTGCTGGGCCCCCCAGCAGGCCTCGAAAGTGGCGACAGTTTCACAGATCGCAGCCCCCCAGGGATGGCGAGGTCTAATTTGAATCTGCCGCGGGTACCCACTGTGCTGGGCCCCCCAGCAGGCCTCGAAAGTGGCGACAGTTTCACAGATCGCAGCCCCCCAGGGATGGCGAGGTCTAATTTGAGTCTGCGGTGGGTACCCACTGTGCTGGGCCCCTCAGCAGGCCTCGAAAGTGGCGACAGTTTCACAGATCGCAGCCCCCCAGGGATGGCGAGGTCTAATTTGAGTCCGCGGTGAGTACCCACTGTGCTGGGCCTCGAAAGTGGCGACAGTTTCACAGATCGCAGCCCCCCAGGGTGGCGAGGTTTAATTTGATCCGCGGTTACCCACTGTGCTGGGCCCCCCAGCAGGCCTCGAAAGTGGCGACAGTTTCACAGATCGCAGCCCCCCAGGGATGGCGAGGTCTAATTTGAATCCTCGGTGAGTACCCACTGTGCTGGGCCCCCCAGCAGGCCTCGAAAGTGGCGACAGTTTCACAGATCGCAGACCCCCAGGGATGGCGAGGTCTAATTTGAATCCGCGGTGAGTACCCACTGTGCTGGGCCCCCCAGCAGGCCTCGAAATGGCGACAGTTTCACAGATCGCAGCCCCCCAGGGATGGCGAGGTCTAATTTGAATCTGCGCGTGGCCCTCACTGTGCTGGGCCCCCCAGCAGGCCTCGAAAATGGCGACAGTTTCACAGATCGCAGCCCCCCAGGGATGGCGAGGTCTAATTTGAATCTGCGCGTGGCCCTCACTGTGCTGGGCCCCCCAGCAGGCCTCGAAAATGGCGACAGTTTCACAGATCGCAGCCCCCCCAGGGATGGCGAGGTCTAATTTGAATCTGCGCGGGCCCTCACTGTGCTGGGCCCCCCAGCAGGCCTCGAAAATGGCGACAGTTTCACAGATCGCAGCCCCCCAGGGATGGCGAGGTCTAATTTGAATCGGGCCCTCACTGTGCTGGGCCCCCCAGCAGGCCTCGAAAATGGCGACAGTTTCACAGATCGCAACCCCCCCAGGGATGGCGAGGTCTAATTTGAATCTGCGTGGGGCCCTCACTGTGCTGGGCCCCCCAGCAGGCCTCGAAAATGGCGACAGTTTCACAGATCGCAGCCCCCCCAGGGATGGCGAGGTCTAATTTGAATCGGCGCGGGGCCCTCAGTGCTGGGCCCCCCAGCAGGCCTCGAAAATGGCGACAGTTTCACAGATCGCAGCCCCCCCAGGGATGGCGAGGTCTAATTTGAATCTGCGCGGGGCCCTCACTTTGCTGGGCCCCCCAGCAGGCCTCGAAAATGGCGACAGTTTCACAGATCGCAGCCCCCCGCAGGCAAGACAGGAAGAGGCAGGGAGGGAGGAGGAGGGAGGAGGAGGAAGGAAGGAAGGAAGGAAAGAGTGGAGACCACACTGCTCTATTCAAAACGAATACCCAACCAAGGAGGGTTGGGAAAAACTCGAGGGGGCGGGACCCTGACAACGGCCTCTGAGACAAAGCCAGGGCGAAGATCAAATCGGGTGAGGACAGATCGAGAATCTCAAGGATCCGGCAGCCCTGGAGGATGTCTCGGGCGCTGCGGCCTTCTCAGAGCGTTCCAGAACGCTCTGAGAGCGTTCCAGAACGCCCCGGAACGGCTTCGCTACGGAAGTGTTTGGCCATTTTCGGCCCTTGCCAGGCCCCAGGAAGGTCAGAGAAGGGCTCGAGACGAAAAAACTGTCCCCAGGAGAGGTCCACACTCTGGGCAGCCACGCTGCAACACCAAAAAAACACTGCGTCGGCTGTCTGAGGAGGGGAAAGGGGAGTCAAAATCGGAACAATGGCGAAGCTGTAACAACCTGAACAATCGCAAAGTAGCATACACTGCAACGGCATGCCTCGATAATCTCTTAGGTATCAAGCCCCTGGAGGGCCGATCGAGATACACTCACGCCGCTTATGGGTGAGCCCAGGGGGGGGGAGTGGTGGGAGGAGGGGGGAGGAGAAGGACCGATCGATCGATCAATCGGGCCGGGTTCAGGGCTACTTCGAAGAGGAGGAGGAGGAGGAGCAGGATCGATCTATCGATCAATTGGACCAAGTTCGGGGCTACCTCGCAAAGGAACAGGAGTATATTTCGCCCCCCAGGCAAGGGCGCGGCTCTGTCACCCACGTGGGCAAGGTCGGCCTTCTGGCCAGACGGCGCTCTCCGCCGCCACTGCTGCAAGCATCGCTGGCCGCTGCTGCTGGCATCCGTCGGCCGCGCCGCGGGGGGCAAAAGGCCGAGAAGACCCAACCCACTCTCGGAGGAGGCCAGTCGAGACAACGGCGGTCCTCCCTGGTGTTCTTTTTGTCCTTTGCCAGGCTTGCTTCTGGAGGCTTCTCGTCGCCACGGCTGGATCCGCCACGAGAAACAAATCCCGATGGACCTCAGAAGGGGTGGACCGACTTTGAGCGGATGCCGTTCTCCACTGGCCCTCCTCCGACACTCGCTCCCGAGGAGGCGCTCGACGCCGGCGGATGTCCACGCTTGAGAGATGAGGACGAGGAAGGTGGGGGGCAACGTTAGGGAAGGGGGGCCTGGTCAAGAGGGGAAACATCGAGCCGGAATCGCGGCATCCCGCCGATACGTCGGCAGCTGGCCTTAGGTCGGGCATGTCCTCATACAGGCGGGCGTTGGACAAACAACTGTCAATGGTTAATAATGTCCAAACATGATCCAAAAACAAATTAGAGAAAATGGTCCCCAGATCATTGTTTGACTATGTTTGAATATTCCTCCTGTAGAGGGATATGCCCGACTTAAAGCTGGCCCCCGATGTCGGATCCGCACCTTCCTGAGCGGGGTGTGCCCTCGGGCCCTCCCCGTCGGCGATGGATGGGCGATGGGGAGTCGACGCGGTCCCCCGCTGAGCCCACCCCTCCCTCCCCACCTCCCCCCCCCTCCCTCCCTTCCTCCCTGGGTCGCGGACAAGACGTCTCTCTGGAGAGGCTTCTTGGGGTCTCTCCCCCCTGACGTTGCCCACGAGGAGGGAGGACGAGGAGAAGGGGGACACCAGGAGGTGCCGATGCCGCCACGCCCCCAGCGCCCAGGACCTCTCTTCGGGTGCGCTCTGGCCAGGCTTCCGAGGCGAATATCCCGCGGCGGCGACGAGGTGCTCCCGGGAGGCCCAAGCAGAAGGCAACGGGCGAAGGGCATAGCGGCAGGGGGCGGGGGAGGAGAGCGGAGGGAGGCAGCGCTGCCCCCCCCGTGCATGGGGCGGCACGTCGCGGGGGCGGGCACGACGCCACGACTGGGAGAGCTCCCCCCCAGCGGGAGGCGCGGCGCCGCCGCTGCTCCCCTCGCCATCGCTCGGGCGTCCAGCCCCCCGGTGCCTTCTGCGGCCTCGTGCGTGCTGTTTTTTTTGTCCGCAGGAGGGCCCGAAAAAAGCGCCTCGACTGCCGGGGGCCTCCGAGATGGGGTCGGAGTAGATGGGGCCGGAGGATTGAGGAGGAGGAGGAGGAGGAGGAGGAGGAGGAGGAGGAGGAGGATTGCGCCGCATCGCCGATGCATCGGCGATGCATCGCCGATGCATCGGCGATGCATCGGCGATGTATCGGCGATGCATCGGCGATGCAACGTCGACGTCGGCGTTGCATCGGCGACGTCGACGTGAAGCAAATCGGGCCCCACGTCGAGCCGCACCGCCGGTGCGTCGGCGATGCGGCGCGATCCTCCGACCCCATCTGCTCAGACCCCATCTGGAAGACCTAGATAGAAGGTCGGGGATCTTCTGACCCGGTCAATCCAGACCCGGGTCAGCAGGAAACCAAAAACTGCGATGCAGGAAAACAAAACTGCAACGCAGGTCTTCGCAAACCCGGGTCAGCCAATATGCGCGGCCGCCTCGCGGCCACGAGCGGCTCGCAAACCCGGGTCAGCCAGAGGGGGTCTTCGCAGGATCCCGCAGGATCCGGTGCCCTGGCTGACCCCCGTTTGCCTTGACCCCCGTCTCTTAGGCCCCGAGAAGGCTCCTCGATTGGCCTTCCGTGGCAAAAACACAAACGTCCGAGCGATGCCGAGTCTCGAGCACATGTCGGGGCTGCGGGGGGCGCACCGCGCGGGCGGCGGTCCCCGCCTCCCGGCACGTTGGCGGGAGCGCGCGGGCGCTCCGGGGCGGCCCGAGCCTCGCTGCAGACGCGGGGCAGGGACCGACCGTCCCAGCGTTCCTATGCAGTCAAAAACCCTAATAAGGACGCGCCTCAAGGACGCAAGACCCTTGGAAGCCGAAGTTGGGATTTTTGGGGCGGCGGACGACGAAAACCCCAAGGACGCAAGAGCAAAAGGAAGAGCAAGGACGCAAGGGTACCCTGAGCAAAGTCGCCGTCCTTATTAGGGTTTTGGACTGTATTGAGGGATGAAAAAACGACCCTACCGTGGGTTACAAGTGCGTGGTCTGTAAACCTCCTGGGAACCCCCCAGAGCCTCGAGCCGCCAGGACGCGGCACATCACGCAGGGTTTACCCTGTCGACCCACAGGAGTTTCAGCGCACAGCGCCTCGTAAACCAGGGTAAGGGCGTTTTGGTTATGCCCTTGACTATAGGCCTACCACGACCTGTTCTCGGAACCAAAACGTGTCCTAAGGACAAGCATGCTCTTCGGACATGAGCCCGATGGGTTAAAGCAAGAAGAGTCTCAGCCAGGCATGTTTTCAGAACATTCCGAGCAGACCAGAAAAGGTTCTTAGAACAGTAGTTCATGGGCTTATAGGCGAGCCAGGACGATTCGCCACTGCTAGAAGACGGGCACTCATGGGACGCACATAAACATATCAGTACTGTATGTCCTCCTTGGAGGCGCGCGCCAACCCGAACATATCGTATACCCATCTTGTAGCGTGTCGTTTCCCAAGCGGTGTATGACCAGAAAGCGCCAGCCACGACGCACATGCTATGAGATTCCTCGGCGCGCGCGTCGCCCCCGGGGAGGAGGCGCGCACACACACACACACCACACACACACACACACACACACAGTACTGGTATGTTGGGGTGACGCCGAACTCACGTGAACCAGCGGTTGAGCTCCTGCAGCTTTGTCCTCATGGTCTCCTCGACCTCCGACGACACCTCCGAGAGTCTCCGGTTGACATCGGCCATGGAGATCGAGAACGGCGTGACGATTTCCTTCTCGTTGTCGATGTGCCTCAGGTACATGTCCTCCACGTTCTCGAGGTCGACCTCGGCCTTCCAGAGCAGCTGGTCGATGTGCTTGCACGCCGCGGCCTCCTTCTTCTTCTGCTTCGCCGCGGCGCCCTGGTCGCTGCTGCTGGCGGCGGCGGGCCCCTCGTTCCGCCTGCTGTTCAGAGCGAGGAGCTCGTTGCGGGCCTGCTGCAGGACCTGGGTGGTCTGCTCGACCAGCTCGTGCATGCGCCGGATCTCCATGTCCTCGTCCTGCGCGTCCTCGTCCTGCACGAACACGCTGGAGTAGGCGGGCCCCTGGCCCATGAGAAGCGACAGGTCCACCTCCATCTCGGCCTGCGCGTGCACATCCAGGCGCGCGACCTGCTGGCTCATGGTCTTCAGCCGCTCCCGCAGGCGCTCCATCTTGGTGTCGAGCTGCTGCGGCGTGTGCGCGACGATCTCGATGCAGTCGTCCAGGCCCACGTGCCCCTTCTCCTTCACCTCAGGCAACTTGGTGAGCTTGATGCCGACGTTGCTCTTCTCCAGGGCCTTCTTGAACCGCTTGGAGTGCCCGAGGAGCTGCTCCTTGCTGATCTGTTTGTTCTTGAAGTGATAGAAGATTGCCTTTAATCCAGTGACCCAGTGGTCGAACTCGAACTCGTCCTTGCAAGTCAAGTCCAAGGTCTTCGAGCCGTTTGCGCCATAGACAAGGGAGAACGAGAGGTGTTCCAGCATTGGCAAGCGATAGTGCAAGAATACTGGGGTTGTCTGTCCCAATCTGATCTCAATCACATCCTCGAGTTGGATGACGGAGTCCTCTTTTCGCTTAGCCCCTGAATCCGCCGACCCCCTTTTGCCAGATGTTGAAAGTCGTGTGAAATGTTGATCTCCCTCCTCCCCCTCTTCCGCCTCCCTGGGGGCCCAAAATCATGTCAGACGGGAGCGGGGGGGGGAGTTCCTAAACGTACCTCTGGGGCCCTCGGAGCCTCCAAGTGCACCCTGCGTGACACGCGAGATGCCCACGATCGTTTCTAAGGTGACTCAGGAAGGACTCCAAGCCTCAAGAACACCCAAGGTGGCCTCAAGACGGCCCATGAGATCCCCCAAGACGCCCCGAGAGAGCTCCAAGAGGACCACAACACTTCTGATTCGTCCATCTTTGCTCCTGACAAGTTGTCGCGCTCTCGCCGATTCGGGCTTCTGATAACCCAAGGCGACCCGAGAGGCCCCCAGGAACAGCCCAAGACGGCCCAAGAGGACCCATACGAGGCCCCCAAGACGGGCCAAGAACGAGGGCTCCAGCTCCAGGACGGCACAAGGAGGCCCCCGAGACGGCCCCCAAAAAGGCCTTCAAGCGGGCCTCAAAGAGGACCTCAAGCCCTTCCCCGCAAGACGGCCCCCAAGATACGTAGCAGTGATCCCCCAGAGGGCCCAAAGAAGGCGCCGGGAGCCCTCTCGAAAGGCTGACGAGGGGCCGCCCCCGAAGCCTCCAAACGGGGCCCCCAAGGAGCCCCGCAGCAGACGCGGAGGAGGAGGTCGAATCAGACACGAAATCGGAAGCCGCACCTCTGCCATTCTGGGGGCCAGCGGGATTGCGCGAGCCTCTCGAATACCAGATCAAGCGCTTGCGGTCGTCGCTCAACTGAAACTGCCGGAGGTGGGGGAAGCCGTAGTGAGTGTGCTTCAGCAGGTTCGATCCTCTCTTCATCCGATCGATCGCCTTGACTGCCTCCACGTGGAGAAGGGGCTCGACCTGCACCTTCAAGCGGCGCCACCTGTCGCCCGTGAATTTCTTCAGGTCGTCCCGTTCCTGCGCCGCCTCTATGATGTAGGTCTGCCCGTTCTGCAAGTCGCCGAAGTCCTCGTAGTCGAAGGTCTTCCCGTTCTCGGCGGGCTCGGCGGTGGACTCGTCGTCGCCTGTAAAGACCACCTCCCTCAGAACGAAGCCTCCGTCGATGATGGCGTCGCAGGCGCACAGAACGGCCTCCTTGATGTCACCGGCCTTCATGTCCGAGTACCACCCGACCACGTTCTTCTCTCCCTTGAAATACACGAAGATCTGCTTCTTCTCGGGCTCCAGGTCGATGCCGTGAGTCGCGTCTAAGATGAAGTCGTCCTCCTCGGCGGGCGCGTTGCTCCCCGTGGCGCCACCGCCGATGTCCAGCAAGTCCCCGCACGGCCCACTGCCGCTGGCCGGCGCCGCCGCCGCCTTGGGCCGCTCCGGCGCCAGCGGGTCTGGGTCGAAGTCGTCCCCGACGGCTGCTCTGCTGGCCGCCGCCTCGGGCTGCGCCTGCTTGGGAGCCGCGGGCTGCTCCTTCGCCCACGCCTGGGCCACGGGGTCGAACTCGTCGTTCGCCCCGAAGGAGATCAGACTGTCGGCGCCCGCGCCCTTCTTGTCCAGCGCGTCCGCGAGGCCGCTGTACGGGTCCGGGGCCTCCAGGGCCTCGCCCGGCGCCGCCGCCGGGTCCAAGAGCCCGGCCTCGGTGCCTGAAGGGGCCCCCTGGGACACACAAAGAACAAGGCTGCCCCACCTTTGCCCAGATGTTCTGGGTTCTTGCCTTCCCCCCCGTGTGAAAGAATTAACGATGACTATGGCCAACCCCAGAGGAAACCAAGCCAACGAGGTAGCTGAAGATGTGGATCAACAACCCCTTGCCGAAGGAAATTGTGAGGATATACATATATATATATATATACATATATATGTATATATATATATATGTGTCATCTTGCCAGAAAGTGAAGCCGAAGACGTACGGCGATCGTCAGTCTCTTGCCAAAAACATGTATGATACCGAAGATGTAGTATGGAGATCGTCAGCTCCTTTCCCAAAACACGTGTGAAGCCGAAGATGTATGGAGATCGTCAGCCTCTCATATTTTCCCCTTCTCATATTTTCCCCTACTCTCCTGGGAGTCGACGATCCATTGTGCCCGTGTGCTTCTCTCCCTCCCGCGTGCCGCCGCCCGCCGCCGCGGCGCCCGCCGCGCCCGCCGCGCCGGCCTCCGCGACGCCCAGGAGGCCGCCGCTGGCCGCAGGCGCCGTGGCCGGCGCCGGCGCGGCCGGCGCCGCGCTGGTGGGCGCGCTCTGGAAGGCGTCCCAGTCGTCCTCCCGCCGTCGCTCGGGCGTCCACTTCCCGTGCATGTTTGTCGGTTTCGAGCGCGTTTTTTTTTATTTTGCTCAGTGGTCCAGGATAAGATGGTGTTTTTCTTTGGTTTTGTTTTGACTGTTTTGTTTGTTCTTGTTTTGTTTTGTTTGATGGTTCTCGCCGAGAAAACATGCACACGTCCGAGCGATGCCTTAAGTCCTCCCCGAACGCGTCGGCCGCGGCCGCGCCGCCGACCGCCGCGGGCGCCGCCGCGCCGAGGAGGTCGGCCGAGTCGGGCGGCGCGGCGGCGGCCGCCGGCGCCGCCGCGGCAGCGGCGGGGGCGCCCTGCGGCGTGGCGGCGGCGCCGGCCGGCGCCGTGGCCTCGGCCGCGAAGCCCAGGTCCAGCAGATCTCCGTCCCCGGCAGCGTCCCCCATCCGCGAGGGGGCCCAGGGGCGCCTCTCGTGCCAGGAGAGAGCCTCGGCCGCTGTGAGAGACTCCAGTCTCGGAGACTGGGCTCGAGCCAGGACGTGCAGGTACGGAGGGGGGTGGGAGGAGTCCAGGATAAGGAGAAAGGGAGGAGGAGGAGGAGGAGGAGGAGGAGGAGGGCCATGGGCCCCTCGTCCTCTTCCGTCGGCCTCATCCTCCTTTCTTCTCCTCCCTGTTCCTCATCCATCATCCATGGATCATTACGATTACGCACACACATGATCGACAGCATAAGTAATGATAACCATCATCATCACCATGGTCCTCATCCATCGTCCTCCTCCTTCTCCTCCTCCTTACCTCCTCACTGCTCATCATCATCCGCCGTCCTTCTCCATTAGTTACAAATGCCAGCCTCTACGTCATCACTACCATCATCGACGCCACTAGCAGCATCACAACAAACGCTTCGTCATGATCATCAGAACCATGCGATTCAGAATACGATCCAACATCTGCATCAAAAACACCACCACCATCACATTCATCCTAACACTGCCAATTACAATCACCATCACCATTATCAACAGCATTGCCATCCCCATCACCATCATGATCAGCATCATCAGCATCAACATCGGCATCATCATCTCCAACACTACTAGCGTCATCGTCAGCATCATCGTGGTCGTCATCGCAATCGTCATCAGTATCATCCTCATCATCAACATCATCATCATCATCAACAACCTCATATCATCATCACATCATCATCACTATCATCATCAGCATCATCAGCATCAGCATCATCGTCATCAGAACAAGCATCACCATCATCATCATCATCATCACCATCATCAGCAGTATCAGTATCGACGTCATCATCAGCACGATCAGCATATTCCACATCATCATTATCAGCATCAGCATCAGCATCATCGGCATCGTCATCGTCATCGTCATCATCACCATTACCATCACCATCACCACCATAGTCACCACCGGACCGCACATCTTCATCATCATCCTACTTCTCCTGAACATCATAACCATCTTTACCATCACGTCATCAGTTATCGGAATCAGCATCATTATCTGCAGCATCATCATCGTCGTCATCATCGTCATCATCACCATCACCATCACAATCACCATCATACTCACCAACCCTACCACACATCCTTCTCCTCATCCTCATCATCATCATCAACATCAACATCATCATCATCGTCGTCGTCGTCATCATCATCATTGTTGCAATGCTTATCATGATCCTGCTCATGATCGCCCTGCTGCGCCTGATCCCCCTTCCTCTCACCGTCCCCCATCTCTTCCCCCCTCTCTGCGCCCCTCCTCCCCCAAAGGAGAGAGGGCTGCTCCGGGGAAGGGCCACAGCGGGCAACGAGAGACGCAAGAAAGGAGATGGTGCCAACTCTGCTTTCCCAATCCCAAACCCAACCGACATCAACCAGTCCCAATCAAGCTGGCATCAGCTCTAGCCCCAAACCGCCAGCCACCGCATCAAACATCGAACACCGAACACCAAACGACGAACTCAAAACCAAAACACGAAACTCAAAACACTGAATCCCGTTCCTAGATCCTCTACACCCCCCACACAAGCCGTAGATTCCACACGTGAAACCAAATCCGGGCTTGACCAAACATGTCCAACGTGCGGAATTCGACCGAACATCTGCGATCCCCAAACACAGCACGCACCAGGTGCCTACGCTGCGTCATGAAATGATGCGTGGCAATAGTCCCCCTCTGGTCGCTGAAACGTGAGAGGGCAAAGGGGAAGCCGCTGGTGTACAAAGAATTCGAAGGGGGAGCGTTCAAGGGTGATGAAGAGGAGGGACGGAAGGGCAGAAGAGACAAAGAAGAGGAGGCGAGTGGGGAAACGTATTCACATGATGGTGGCTGTGCGAAACAACGACTAGCTGTGATGCTTCAATGCTGGCGACGTGGTTGACGAGAATGAAGACGATGCCGACGGGAAGGACGATGGTGACTACAGTGAAAACGTATGGTAAGGAGGTAAGGACGCAAGACCCTTGGAGGCCGAAGTTGGGTTTTTTAGGGCGGCGGGCGACCAGTGACAACGGCAAGGACGGGCCTCAGAGGCGAGGACACAAGGTTACCCTAGATGAAGGCGCGCGTCCTTACTAGGCGCGTTGACTGTATGCCGAGGGGGCCGATCCGAAACGTTAGCACCCGTGTATGACCCAATGCCGAGGGTTCCAGGCACCCCCTCACCGCCAGACGGGACGGGCCCCAGGGCCCCACAGCCCACCCCCCCACCTTGCCGTCGCTCGGACGCCCATTGCCCGTGCATGTTTCGATGTCGTGCGTGTTTTGTTCGCTCGATGGTCCAGGATGTTCCTCAAGGGTCCTCGCCGAGAAAAAATACACACGTCCGAGCGATGCCAGGCCACCCGAGATGGGACGGGCGGGGGGGCGGCGCCGACGACGACGACGACGACGACGACGACGACGACGACGACGACGACGACGACGGCGACGGACAAAACGGCGACGACGACGACGACAACGGCACCGCTGCACCTCTCCACACCAAGAGGGGGAAGGGGGGTAGAGCCAAAAGGCGGTGATCCGCGCCACCGCGCCCCCTGGCACGTTGAAGCGTGGAAGACCAAGGGCCGTTGGGTAGGGTTTTCTGCCGTCTCATCAGAGACCGCCCCCCCCTCTACCAGCAGACTATCGCGAGTCCCAGTCCTCAGTCCTGAGGAGTTTCTTAGGGGCCCATATCCTAATGCTCAACTCGACCGTGACTTGTCGCGTGCTCTCTAGGGCGCGTCGCTTGCCCTCTGGGCTCCCCCGCGGCTAGTCGCACGGCGTTTCCTGCCCAAGACGACCCCAAGACGGGCCAAGAGGGCCCTACGAGGCCCCCAAGACGGTGCAGGAGGGCTCCGAATCGCCGAAAGATCGTTTAAAGACGCCCAAGATGGACTCAAGATGGCCCAAGAGGCCTCCAAGACGCCCCAAGATGTGCATGGGGTTGAAGTACAAGGGCACAGAACCCCTGATGCGCTGGTAGAGGGAAGGAGGGGGAGATGGATGTCGTTCCCCCCTGCACGATCAAAGGCCTGATCGATCTGCCCCAATACCTGAGCCCAAACGGCCAGGCGCAGGAGAGGTGAGGATAAGGAGTATATATATGAAGGTATTACACGGGTTCTATTCACACCCCCCGTCCCGAATCCCGCCCGTGAAGGTAGGACTCGGGAACAGAGGAAAAGATCCCGTCACCCTTTTACTCCTCCAATCCTCAATTCTGTCAGGCAGCTGAGCGCAAAATCTGCATAGCTTCAGCTGCGCCCCAATCGCGATAGCGCTCACGATTAGGCAAGGTAAGGTAAGAAGGAACACCCAGGGTCCCTATTTCTTCGCCAAGCACGCTATGGTGCCCCCTCGGTGCGCCCCCCAAAAACGCCTCGGCACTCGAGGGCGGAGAAGAATGAGACACGGGTGGGCGGAGAAAGAGGATCTGAGCCAGTTAAAGCAAGATCAGAAGCTGCCGCGCCTAAGCAGGGCAGGTGTTGCCACCAGCTCTCGGTCGAGAGCTGGGCATCAGATCATTCTCAACGCAGTGTAAGTAAAATCTAAAGAGTAAACCATAAAACATAAAAAGCATTCTAAGGTCGCGTTGATGAACACGATCGTGTCTAGAAACACGTCTAAATATCAAAGCAAATGTCTGGCCAGACGCAAAGTCGTGTTGATAAACACGATAAGCTGTATACATAAATTCTGCATTTAGCGACTCCACTTTGCGCTGCTCCTTAGGAGGCTGCATTGGGTTTCGCAAGGATATGTGCGCGGCCACTTTTCTGGAATAGCGAAGTGGCCTAAGGTGATATATTAGCCACCGCTCGGGGCGAACTTGTGCAATGATGAAGTTCTAGCCTTTCGAGCGGTGGGCCTGGCGGCCGACCATACTACGCGTTACCCCTGTCGTAGAACCTGTGGTCCCACATCCTGTGGCCATCATACGAGACGTAGCTTGTCGTGAAGGTCTCCCAGGGCGCCCTGGGGATCCAGTGGCGGAACCAATTATTGTACTGGATGTCGCGTACGTATACGAACTCGTCGCTGTTGTCCGTGATGTACATCCAGCAGTTGATGTAGTAGCTCCAGTATATGGGGCCCCACTGGCTGCCCTCTAGGTTGTCGCGCCACCGCGTAGCGTAGTCCTCCGTCGTGCGCGCCCTCTTGGCGCGTGGAGGTGTCGCGGGTCTGCGGCTGTCGTCGCTGTCCTGCCGCTGCGCTGCAGCGCCGCGCGGCCCCGCGGGCATGTAGTCCTGCGCGCCAGAGGCGCTGGACCCTGCAGCGGCGCCAGGAGCAGGGCGCGGCGGCGGCGGCGGGCGCCGCGGCTGACATGGATGGCCCCATGGCATCATCAGAGCGTTGGGAGTGTATATCAGGTCGATCGAATCGGTTCTCATCCCTGAATCAACACCCCTCTGGTCAGTGGAACCCAAGGCGGGCTCAACAGAAGCAAGCACGGCAAGCTTGCGCTGCGTGGCTTTCTCACGGGCGCCATCCCCTCTGGGAAAGGCAATCGCGACAAGTCCGCGCGCTTGCCTCGTGCCTCGGTCGAGTCTGCCTGCGTTCAACCACCCTTTCTTCCGACCAGCTTGGCCAGTCCTGATGCTGGTCTCGAGGATTTCACAGGCGTCACGCATGTCCTCAATGGTATAAGCGTTCTTGCCTTTATTGACACGAGCGCCTGTCATTTGGTGGTGGAACTTCAAATCATTGAGAAAGCGCTGAACGAGGTTGGCAAGGGGGTGGTATAGAGGTCTGTCGTCCTCACGCTCGCCCATCAATCTGCACATGTGTGCAGGAGGGGAGCCAGCGGCGACCCACTTCTCATACCTCTTCCTAGCAGCATTTGCCAATCTCCCCAGCATGTCCTTCTCATGTCCTGGAATGGAGCGCTTGCCCATCATCAGGACCTGCGCACCATCTCTCATGTACCTCGTGATGTCGTCCTGGGAGAGCGTCGTCTTGATCCAGTGGGTCAGCTTCTGGAGGTATGCCAGGTCGCTCTCGACGGCGGTACTTTTA